GCTTGTATGCGGCCTGCAGGTCTGCCATTCTCCATGGGGGGGGTGGGGGGGGGGCATTGAGAAACCTGGCCTTGGGGGAGCAGAGAGAGTAAATCCGGCCCTGTCTATATGTATAACTTGTCGGAAGCCATGTATTTTCCAAATGCCCTGGAGCTCCTTTTGTGCACGCTGTCTTCAAGCACCACGCCATGCGAGCCCCCATTTACTCTGAGCGTTTAGTTGTGCATTTCCTGATGCGCAACAACTCAACATGAAGAATACCATTATTTTCAATGGTGCCGGTTCACACCTGAGCGTTGTGCTGTCCATTAGACCTCAATGGGATGGTCTGGACACACAATGGTAACACATTTTTTTGCAATTCTCTGCCTAAAAACCGTTTCCTCTTCCCAGTCACTAGCTGTCCATTGGCTAAAACAAAGTATGAGTCGGGGGTTAGGGGTACCTGCTGGATGGACAGGCGGTTGGCAAATGTCTCGACTTGCAGGTCATTTAGGCAATAGGTGGCAGACTCAATGTCGCCTGTTTATTTTAAGGGAATTTTGGGGACGTTGCCATTTAAATAAACCCCCCACCTGTCCTGTATAACCCGCCCCAAAAAATACTGGCCTTCATGCTTGCTTCCAAGTTCTTCCCTATGTAAACATCTTGGCCGAGTCCTGTATCTAGTGTGCTGTCCCATTCATTCCAATGGCTGGTCCATACTCATGGTAGCCTCCATGAGTATGGACCAGCCATTGGAATGAATGGGGCATCCAGTGGAATATGAACCTTCCATAGGAACGGATGGTCCCCGGGCACTGGGTACAGCACCCGATGGGCATTCAGGTAAGGGTTTTACTGTGCTCTGAGTACTGAGAGGGGTGGGGGATAGATTTAAAGGACAACTTCACTAAAGTTGTCATTTAAAGGAAGGGATATTTTGATGAGACTTTTCTGGTTGAGCCATTGTACACCTTCAAGAAAGCCTTCCAAGAGAACCTTGGTGACACCAAAATGAGGCCAGTCAGGAGGAGGAGGCGGAGGAACTGGAACACACAAAGGTGGGCAGTGATACCCCCAGACTCCCAGGTGGACATGAACAGAGCCGGGAATGATGGAGGGGGAGATCTCAGTGTTGCAGCATCCAAGACATATACAGTATCAATCAGTGGTACATTTAACATGATTAGGGTTTGCATACTCTTTATTATAGGACAGGGGTAGCCAAACTTCGGCCCTCCAGATGTGCTGAAACTACCAATCCCATCATGCATCTGCTTCCAGCAGTCATGCCTGTGGCTCTCAGAGTCTTACAATGCCTCATGGGACTTGTAGTTTTACCACAGCTGGAGGGCCACCCCTGTTATAAGATGTCTCATTTCCATCGGGGCCATTCTTATTGCAATGCACAACACCCCTCCTAGCCTGTCCTCTAACTCTTCTCTCTCTCTCTCTCTCTCTCTCTCTCTGCTACAGTTTTGTGAAATGGTGCCACTCCGTTCCCCTCTGCGGACATGACGGGGCGAGGGGATCCCGATCTTCATCAAGACTCCTCCACATTTCCATCGAGACACCAGACAGAGACCTGAAGGAGACCGCCAAGAGTGACAGAGCGAGAGAGAGACCGAAAGAAAGCAGGAGTGCCTGGTGTATCATAGAGAGTGCCTGGTGTATCATAGAGAGTGCCTGGTGTATCATAGAGAGTGCCTGTGTCTCCTCATCTCATGTGATATTTACACCCACACACACCACAGCCGCCATTAAATTTTCGGCCAGTCCGTAAAAAAAGGTGAAAAGACCACTGCCGGTATCCTAATAGAGAGTCAGTGATGATGACTATTGGATACGACACAATCTGGTTACTGTATGTCATCTACGTATCTGCGAATATTTTACGGCGTCCGAAATATTTCTGGGCGTAAAAAAAACAAAAATCTCATCGACTTTGGCAATCGTATCCTTCAGCTGTGAACAAGACCTGTGATTGCTAACGATGACAGGAGATAAAAGCACATTCGCCGCGCCGCGCACCCTTCCTACGGTACTCCCGTTACATTCACCTTCCATGTACATAGACCTTCCATTGTCCTATATTACGTTGCAGAGGTGACCCCTAGTGGCCACAGTGTGTATAGCAGGTGCATGTACTATTATTACTACTCACACCTAGTGGTGGTGCTGCAGAGTATCATGCCCATTCATTAACCCTTCACGTCATCGCCCCCGTGCTAACACAGAGAACTACAGACCGTGACTCCGCTCATCCTTCACCTGCAGAGCCTCACTCGCCACCCTCTGCAGAGCATTTCTGTCTTTCATGAGCACTAATCTTCAGTGCAGGTCCCTAGAGCAGTATGTGAACTAACTCTCACCCACCCCCCCTCCCTCCTTCCCTTTGTGCACTGGACAGGTGGAGGTGTCGGCTGGTCTTACCTAACCCTGACCGCCTTGCGCCTCCTGTCCCCTCTCAGATCTGCTCTCTGTACTTCTTATATCCGATGACTGTTATCCGTTATACGCACCTATGGTCATGCATGATGCCTGGTTTACATGCACGCAGGGGAGGGCAATGAATTCTCCTTGTTCCCCCTCCCGCTAATCTGGTGGGGGGGTAGAGGGAGGAGCAATTCAATAAGAGGCGGGATACTTTTCCTAAAGGAGAGACGGACAGCTGTCCTCTAATACCCATCCCCCATCCTGGATCTTTTATATAAGTTACACTTCTATAATGGAATTACATGCGTTTGCTATTGACGCGGGGCTCACGTGGAATTAAAAAAAATTCCAGCATGCCAAAAAAAAAAGCCCAGTCGCCCATGCCTCTGATTACCATGGCGGCCGCTGTAACACTTCAAACTGGTTCATTGGGGGCTGAGGGTTTGCAGAGGCCTGACGCACGGGTTTACAATACGAATGCAATCATCATGTATCTGATTTGTATCATTTATTTGCAGACAGTCTTCCTGCAACTATATGACGTGAGGCAGTGGCACTCACTAGGGGGGGGTGCGGCCCGCACCCGGGTGACACCGTTGGAAGGGTGACACCAAAATAACTGACAGTCATTTTGGTGTCACCCCCTCTGAAAAGTCGGGCACTCATGGACCGAGAGCCCGACAGTGTCAGGAGAGAGGAGGGGGACCCGGCGGCATACCTCATCCCGCCGAGGGAACATCCCCTGCTCTCTCTGCCGGCGTCCATCACCAAGATGGCTGTCGGCAAGCGTCAATGAGATGGCCGCGCATGCGCGATGACGTCACAGCGGGGTGTCACCCGGTACCTGCTCCGGGTGACACCAGGCCTTGGGACGCCCCTGGCTTCAGCTCAACTCCATTCGAGATCTCTGCCAAAGTAGGGAAGGGGAAGATCCGATATTAAGATTATCTCTCACTTCCTGTCTCTGCCTGTGACCGCTATCACCAGGACAGGAAGTGAGCGGGAATTCCTCCCCAGAGTAGACACAGAGACAGTGACTGCGAATCTCTCTCCTGAGCCAAACGTATTTAGCTGGAGTTCCGCTCCAAAGCACCCGGACCTGGTGTGTAATCATTATTACTTCATATTATAAACATGAGATTATTCACAAATATGCAGAAATATTGGAGTTGGAGTCATACCCTTTGTTGGCCGACTGAAGTGATTGAAGATCCAGGTTTTCTGGAGGCCTTAGATGCCTTCTTCATGCTTCAGACATTTCTAAAAATGGTTCTAGACCCCCCCCCCCCATAGTAATAGAGAGCTACAAGGAGGAGCAATTAAATGGGAATATGTAAAAAAATACAATTATTTTTTTCCCCTTGACACACGTGAGTAGTAGAGGCGGAGCCAGAGATCAGAGTATAGAAGAGTATCGTTGGGGGTCATTAATTTAGAAATAAGAAGTCCAGGCGCAGTACTTACCTCCAATGAGAGTTCTTGTGAAATGTCCATATACCAGAGACGCAATGAAAAGCAACTATTAATAAAATACAACCATTAATAAAAATATGTCCATTTATAAAATACGTCTATTTATAAAATACAACCATTATTAAAATATGTCCATTTATAAAATACATCTATTAATAAAATACAACCATTATTAAAATACGTCTATTTATAAAATACAACCATTAATAAAAATATGTCCATTTATAAAATACGTCTATTTATAAAATACAACCATTATTAAAATATGTCCAATTATTAAATACAACCATTAATAAAAATATGTCCAATTATAAAATACAACCATTATTAAAATACGTCTATTTATAAAATACAACCATTAATAAAAATATGTCCATTTATAAAATACGTCTATTTATAAAATACAACCATTATTAAAATATGTCCAATTATTAAATACAACCATTAATAAAAATATGTCCATTTATAAAATACGTCTATTTATAAAATACAACCATTATTAAAATATGTCCATTTATAAAATACATCTATTTATAAAATACAACCATTATTAAAATACGTCTATTTATAAAATACAACCATTAATAAAAATATGTCCAATTATAAAATACGACTATTTATAAAATACAGCCATAAAATACAACTGTTAATGGAAAATAATGAAATATAATAATTTATAAAAATACGTCCATTCATGAAAATAAAGCCATTAATAAAATATGTCCATTTATAAAAATACAACCATTAATGGAATACGACCATTTTTCTTGATGCTCTTGAATAGTAGTCCTTTGTAATTGGGATATCTGTATATAGTTATCAGAGACGGGGAGTGTTTTTGGGCCAGTACGTGGCTACTAATCCCGGCAAACTTGTCCCCTTAGTGAGGATGAGGGTCCTCTTGAAATGTCCGTGCACCTTTGATCCCTGACTCGAGGAAAACAGATTATAACCTGAGTTTGCCAACAAAGATTATCAATTGTACTCCAAACTTTCTGAATCAATCGATCACTAGTAGACTTAAGGTGCCCATAACCCTCCCGCGATCGTACGATGATCGGCAGGGGTATGGGCAGCGTATGATCCCGCGATCGTACGATGATCGGCAGGGGTATGGGCAGCGTATGATCCCGCGATCGTACGATGATCGGCAGGGGTATGGGCAGCGTATGATCCCGCGATCGTACGATGATCGGCAGGGGTATGGGCAGCGTATGATCCCGCGATCGTACGATGATCGGCAGGGGTATGGGCAGCGTATGATCCCGCGATCGTACGATGATCGGCAGGGGTATGGGCAGCGTATGATCCCGCGATCGTACGATGATCGGCAGGGGTATGGGCAGCGTATGATCCCGCGATCGTACGATGATCGGCAGGGGTATGGGCAGCGTATGATCCCGCGATCGTACGATGATCGGCAGGGGTATGGGCAGCGTATGATCCCGCGATCGTACGATGATCGGCAGGGGTATGGGCAGCGTATGATCCCGCGATCGTACGATGATCGGCAGGGGTATGGGCAGCGTATGATCCCGCGATCGTACGATGATCGGCAGGGGTATGGGCAGCGTATGATCCCGCGATCGTACGATGATCGGCAGGGGTATGGGCAGCGTATGATCCCGCGATCGTACGATGATCGGCAGGTGTATGGGCAGCGTGCGACCGCATCTACTGTACGGTCGCATGACTTTCGTCTTCCTAGCACGCTGAAAAACCCACCGAAAATCGCACGATTTTCGGCGAGTTAGTGGCGCGCTCGGAAGACGAAAGCCGCACGGGCCGAGGTGTGCAAGCGCACACTGCCCGCTCAGCATTGCAATCATCGGAAGCCCGCCCCCTGTCCAAGATGGGCAGATCGTCCGAAATTTTAATGACCTTACAACCGTCGCACAGCGAAAGTCGTGTGATGGTTGTAAGGTGCATGGCCAGCAATTCTCCACTACCGCTATGAAGATCAACATCAGCTGTCGGGGGCAGTCCAAATCTTCACAGTAACGGGTCACGTTTTCACCAAGGATTCACGTATTTAGGCAAGAATCGTACATTTCGTGAATCAGGGTAAATGTTGTGTGAATCTTGTGTCCATGGAGCCCAAAGTCTCTCCCTTGCTGCAGCATTGTTCAATCGCCAATACATCACAACTATTGGTATTGGTTCATTTTAAAGTGTCTGTCAAGCCAAAAACTTTCTTCCCTTGGTTTTGGAAGCAGTGAGGAGGAAGTTGAACGCCTGTTGGGGCTTCTAATGCTATCCGGGGGGTCCTTTACAGAGATTTCCCCTCACTTCCTGTCCTGCTGGCAACGTTTTACCAGACAGGAAGTGAGGGAAAATCTGCACTGGGGGCACAGATAGAAACAAGAATTGATATTATGAATATATATTTGTGTTATGGTGACTTCCTCATGACTCAGTTACCAATATGTCGCTTCTCTACAGACCATAGGTAACGGATTGTGCTGCTACACAGTGTCTGCCACTAGATGCATCTATTTATCCCCATCTGCTGTATCTGTAGCCCTGATGAAGGGGGCGAGTTCTGGGCCTCCGAAATGTGTCGGTTCTTTTTAATGAAGCCTTTTATTTGATCTTACACCTGGCAGCGTGGATCTTCAATCCCGAAAATAAAAATCTGCCAGGAGTTCTAGCCTTCCCCTAGAGCAGGGGTAGACAAACTTCGTCCCTCCAGCTGTGCTGAAACTACAATTCCCTTCATGCATCTGCCTTTGGGAGTCATGCCTGTGGCTGGCAGAGTCTTGCAATGCCTCATGGGACTTGTAGTTCCATAACAGCTGGAGGGTTGAAGTGTGGCTAACCCGGCGCTATAGCAAGGGTTGCTATAAGCGTTCCCCTCATTTCCTGCCTCTAAAAATGTG